CAGACCTAATCCCCACCACATGACAAACCTTTTATGTCCTCCTTAACATCACATACCTACTTTCAGTCCTCTTTTATGACTGAAATATTTTAGGTAAGAATCTCCCCTCTGCCCCAAGAAGCCAGCACGTTTATTGATGTCTACTTAAGTCCTTCAGGTACTGAAGGCTTCTTGGTCTCACTTCTCATGGGGGAAGGAAGCTCAACCAAGACAATACAGACTGTAGACGTGCCTCCAAGACAGCACCAAGGTCTGTTGGTACAGAATGTTGTAGATCCCCCCACCCTTCAAGTACACTGGGAGTTCACTGTCTGCCTGGAAGAGTTTCTGTTTCTCAGCCACTCAGTTCTGCAAGTGACTCCAGGCAGTTGAGATGAAGGAGTAAATCAATGCCTGGGAAACATTCATGGTCCTCATTTCTGTATCCTCCTCTTTGGCTGGAGTCGTATCGTCTCTCAAGGTCCAAGGACATACAGCCTACGTAAGAATCTTCTATAGATATGTATTACTTTAGTTAACTACTCCTTCTATAAATGCTCTTTCCTTAAAATATATTTTATTGATTAAGCAATTATAGTTGTCTAAATTTTTTCCCCTTTCTTACTCTCCATGCTGCACCCCCTAATGCCTCAGGCAATCTCCAAACCACTGTTCATGTCCACAGGTCACTTGTGTAAGTTGTTTGGCTACTCCATCTGTACTGTACTTTGCATCCCCACAGCTATTCTGTAATTACCTATTTGTATTTCTTAATCCCCTCCCCTCTTCATCCATTCTCTCACATAACACCCCTAACTTAACAACTATCAACAGGTTCTCTGTATCCATGATTCTGTCTGTTTTTGTTTGCTTAGCTTGTTTTTTAGATTCAATTGTTGACATTGGCATTTCATTGTTCATAGTTTTGATCTACTTTTTCTTAAATAAGTCCCTTTATATTTCATATGCTAATGGTTTGGTGATGATGAACTCCTTTAGTTTTTCTTGTCTTGGGTACATTTTATCTGCTCTGTAATTCTAAATGATATCTTTGCTGGGTAGAGCAATCTTGGCTGTAGGTTTCTGCTTTTCATGACTTTGAGTATTTCTTGCCTATCCATTCTAGCATGCAAAGCTTATTTTGAGAAATCAGCTGACAGTCTTGTGGAACTCCCCTGCAGGTAACTAACTGCTTTTCTCTGCTGTTTTTAAGGTTCTCATTTTTAACCTTTGGCATTTTAATTATGATGTGTCTTGAAGTGGGCCTCTTTGCATCCATCTTGTTTAGACTCTCTGCATGTCTTGAACTTGTATATCTATTTACTTCACCAAATTAGTGAAGGTTTCTTCCATTATCTTTTCAAATAGATTTCCAATTTCTTGCTCTTTCTGCTCTTCTTCTGGCACCCCTATGGTGCGAATGTTGGAAAGCTTCATTGTCCCAGAGGCTCCTTATACTATCCTCATTTTTAAAATTCTTTTTTCTTCTTGTTGTTGTTTGTTTTTTGCTACCTTATCATTGATTTGATTCTTGGATCCATCCAATATACCTGTAAATTGTGCTTTATTTCAATTAAAGTATTCTTCATTTCTGACTAATTTTTTTTATGCCATTGAGGTCCTCACTAAGTGCCTAGAGAGTCCTCATAACCAGTGTTTTGAACTCTGCGTCAGATAGTTTGCTTATCTCCATTTTGTTTAGCTCTTTTTCTGGAGTTTTGATGTTCTTTCATCTGTGCCATGTTTCTATGTCTCTTCCTTTTGGCAGCCTCCCTGTGTTTGTTTCTATGTATTAGGCAGAGCTGCTATGCCCCCCCGTCTTGGTAGAGTGGACTAACGTGGTAGGTGTCCTGTGGTCCAGTGGCACAGCCTCCTGTATCACTCAAGCTGGGAACTTGAGGTGTGCCCTCTGTATGGGCTGAGTACACCCCCCTCTTGTGTTTGAGCCTTGGTTGCTCTGGACAGGTCAATGGGAGGGACTTACCCAGGCCAGTCAGCTTCAAAAACTGGCTGTGAGCACTGACCACCAACCTCCACCCTCGATGGAGGATCAGCTGGGCAGGGGCAGGATGGTGGTACTCTGATGTGTCTTGTAGCTGTCCACTGGGTACAAAGGCAGTAGGGTTTTCCAGGTGGTGCAGGCCAAGTTCAGCTCCTACCTGTGTTCTGCCCAGGGCCACCCTACATAAGCTATAAGGCAACTTGACATGGCAACTACTTGAGCTGGGCTCCCAGGTGAAGTCAAGCTGTGAATCTAGGCTGGCTGCTGCTAGTACTGGGCCTGGGGCCACTTAGCAAGAGGTAAGGGCGCTGGGAGCTCACTGAGGCCTGCTGTTGCTTATTTGATTAGGCCTTAGGGGTGTTGTGAAGCATGAGCCAAGACCAGCCACTCACATGGAGTCAAGGTTAACAGTTTGGGTTGCCCCGTAAGTTGGGTGGGACAGAGTCTCAGGGGATCTTCAGGGCAGGGCAAACAGTGTTAGCCAGGTTGATGGAGTCTCAGATATGGCACCTACCTGTTAGTTCTGTGGCTCTGTGGCAGTGGAAGGCTCAGAAAAGGGACAGTGGCCTCTGCCGGGCTTTCTCTCCCTCAGTTCTTGTCTTGATACCGGACACTTGACTTTCTCCTTGTACAGCACAGGTGCCATTCAAACTGCTACCTTGATGCTAGAGCTCAAAGATAATGAGTCTGAATAAGTCTGTGTGTGGGCTGGTTAAGAGGAACTGCTCAGGACACAGAAGTTTATTCCACTGACTCAACCCATGCTGATTTTTGCAGCCAGAAGTTATGGGAAATTATCTTCCTGGAAGTGGAACCTTGGGCTGGAGTGCCTGGTATGGGGCTGGAACTCGTCGCTCTTGAGATATCCCTCCCATAGTTTTATACACCACACGTGGATTTGGGACCAGCCCGTTCGGGGTCTTTGCCCCTCCTACCAGTCTGGATGGAATTGGTTTCTTTAATTCTGTAGTTGTCAGACTTCCATTCAAATCCATTTGTGATGGCTCTGAATGATGGCTGTTCTATAGTTTAGTTTTAGTTTTGATGTGGTTGTGCAGAGAGGTGAGCCATGTGTACTGATGTCACCATCTTGACCTGATGTCCATTTTGTTGTGGCTTTAATATATCCTTTTGTACTTGTGTATAAAGACTAAAACCTGTATTATCATATGCTTTTACAACCACATTAGTGTGGGTGTTTTAAATATCCTTTATAGCGTGTAAGAAAATTTAATCTAATAGCTATACTAAAAAACTCAGAATGTCATCACCAAATTGTTTCTAATAACTTTAAAGCAGAGGAAAGCTGGGAGGGAATTAACATTTATGCAACCAAACTGACTGTTCACTCATTCAGTAAATATTGTTGAGTATCCCCTGTGTGTGCCAAACATTTAGCTGTGGTAGGGAAGAGTAAGAAAGGCATGGTCTGTGGCAAAGCACAGAAATCAAACCCCTTTGGAGAAATACCCAACATACTTGAGAAATCATGTTCTATGTAAGTAAAATTTTCAAATAGCTTGAGATTATACCATAATACCTCTTTATACCATAAATATTTAAATATTTAATTCTAATCATTTATAATTAAATAAACTTTTAAGGCATATTCCCCCCTTCAGTGCAAGTGATGCACCTTAATAAATGTTAGCATTTTTTTAAAAGATTTTATTTATTTTTAGAGAGAGGAAGGGAAGGAGAAAGAGAGGGAGAGAAACATCAATGTGTGGTTGCTTCTCACATGCGACCCCCCACTCCCCCCCACTGGAGACCTGGCCCACAACCCAGGCATGTGCCCTACACTGGGAATCAAACCAGTGACCCTTCAGTTTGCAGGCTGGCACACTATCCACTGAGCCACACCAGCCAGGGTAGCATTTTCCTAATGAGCATGAATTATTATACTCTGCTAAAATGTAGTAATAACTTAAAATATAGAAGGTTCTTTGCAAATATGCCAAATTGCTGGTTTTATAGCTTCACTTTTTTCAAATATCTTATTAAAATTATGAAATGTATCATAGAGATAAAAAGAATATTAACAGACATACCTTTTAAAACCTGATGAGACATTATTAATACCTTTAAAGACTCCTCAACCCCTTTCACACTGAATCTTCCTTCCTCTCAGAGTTAACCACTAACTTGAATTTTTCCTTTAATATATATCTGCTGTTTACAGTTTTATTTTTCCCTCAGATTACTTTTTATATTTTTCATATGTCTGCCAAATTCTACTAAAACATAAATTTGTTAAGATAACAAGAAGCAAGCTCATTAGGGCTGTGCTTTTGTGGAAAATGTGACAGGTTGTAAGGCAAAGTAGTAGAGGTTCTCCTTTGAGTAAGGTCTATGAGTGTTATTTCACCTTCACTGAGGCATCAATTTTGCCTGTTAAAAGCCTTTTGAATATAATTACTGCTATTTAAGATTGTTCCAGATGGTTGGGAATGCCAAGTAGATAACCTTATGAAGTCAGGTGTTATAGAGCTGAGGAATTCACAGCCAAAAGGATCCCAAAGTGACATCAAGAGTCATCAAATATAACCTCTTCACTCCCTATGGCAAAAACGAACCAAAGTTTCCTAGTTAGCAGCAGAGCCAAGGTCAGCATCCAAGTCAATCAGACCAGTGGTTTTCGACTGCAGAACTCCCCAGGGGATATTTGGCAATGTCTGGAGATATTAATATTTTTGTTTGTCTTACTGGGAGAGTGCAATAGAAGGCAGGGATGCTGCTAAATATCTTCCAAGTACAGGACAACTCCTCACAAGAGAGAATTATCAGGTCCAAAATAACAAGCAGTGTCGAGGTTGAGAAACCCTGATTAGAATTACACTTTGCCACATCTAAGTCATCAACATTTTACTTAATATGAGGATTCTGAGAAAAACAGTGTCAAAATAGGTTATTTCCCTTTAGTAAAATCTTCAGGCAGATTTAAGGTCTAATGTATTTGATTTCTTATGAGATGGAATAGGATAAGCAAACAAACAAACAAACGACAGAACTTACTCACCAGGAGCCAAAACCCAAGGGTCTCCTATCATAATCTGGCAGATCTGGAGCAATCTTACAAGCCTGTATGTTCAGGTACTTAAATATGTGGATTTTGCCTTTTATACATATCTAAATAAAGTAACACACAAATTATTACTCATCTGAAATGTGTCCCTTTTTAATCACAATCAGCTTTTTACTTAATATATATTGGAAATAGAAGGCATTTCTATTAAGTACATACAGTAATATTAAAAATCTAATACTCATTTTAACAAATTATTTTATTTGTTATTTTAGGTATTTAAGTATAAATACTGATTTTATTTTGTAGACACTAAGTTTCAGTAACATATAAAATAATTTATGATTACAAAGAGAACATCAAGTAAACTTATCACACTGATTAATTAGGCATAGCCAGGAATTTAAAGCACTGCTCCTACATGGATTATACTAGCAACTTTTTCTTCTTTTTTTAAATTTTATTTCTTTTATTTCTGTATTTATTTGATCATTTTAATTCCACTTTCCCCACCCCACCCTATATTAGCAACTTTTGCTTTTAGAAATTCAACAATCATGTACAATTATGTTTTCAATCCTACTTTCTGCCAGAGAGAAAAGCAGGAAATGTTTAAATGTTAAAGCTATAGATATTTTTGTTGCTACATGTTGACTTATGTCCCAAAAGTCAAAACGTAAATACTTAAAGATTATGAGAACCTTATATAGTGATGAGGTTTACTCATAAAGTTTTAACTGCCATGCAGAGGCTTGTACCATCAATTGATTTCTGAAGAGTAAAAAAGCTACAGCCTAGACCTATTTTTTAGAATTGTATTAATATCTAGAATCTATATGTAACACTACCTTATAAATACTTATTAAATAGATGTATTTCAGTCACTGCTAAACAAATGACCAAACTAAATAAAATAGGAACTTGAGATTTTAGAAAATGAGAAGGTACAAAAATAATGGATGGAAGAAATGTACTAATAATCTTTAGTTTTGAAAGCTAAGTATTTTTATTTGTCTCTAGCAATTACATTGTCTACAATCAAGTTTTATCAGAAAAAAAGTGCACTCATTTAGAAAATAGCTTGAAGGGTTTTTCCCAAGACTGAAAAGTGAGATAGGCTGCAGGTACCTGGTAGTCAGATCTCAGTTTTAATGGGTCTTGGTTCTGTTCCTCAAGGACATTCAAATGTTTATTCATGTGTTTTTATGATAGAGGAGATACAGGAGGCTAGAAAAATCTTTAAGAATCCTACAATTTTTTTAAAATGTCAATTTCATGAAAGGAAAAACCACTTCTGGAAACAGTATCTTGCACTGTTTGTTTGGTCAAGACTTCTAATGAATGCCTAAGTGTGTGAATTTATTATACAAGAACTTAATTTCCAACAAAAAGATAAATGTGTATAACTTAAATTTAAAGTTTCATCCTTTGCCAAAAAAGTTCATAACATACTTCAGATCAATGATGGTTTACCTGTGCAGGAGGAGACTGTAATGGATTGTTATCTAAGGCAATCATCTGTAGGTGCCTTAGGTTCCGATAACAAATGGGGATTGTTGTAATTTTATTGCAGGAGAAGTCTAAACGTATTAAAGGCAATTCTGCCAGCTCTGCAAAGAGATAAAATGGAAATCAACAATTAATATTTCAAAACTAGACAATTTTAACAGAAGCTTCTAGTTAGTGGATTTAACATAAGTATTTACTTCCACTCTTTCTCTTAATAATTAACTGACACAGCAAGGTAGTATCAAATGAGATTTAGATGCTTACAGACAGGAAATCTAATGAAAAGCAAGCTGTTTCACTTCTCACAGCTCGGGTCCTATCTGTCTCCAGTCATCACAGAAGCTAATAAGTTATTCCCTAATGCAATTGAATTGAAAGGCTCTGAACTCAGGGATCCCAGGCAAAATGGAAAGTCAGGATGAGCTGCTAGTTAAAATGGACAATTTAAGTGAAAGTCTACACACTTATTGGCAAGACCTTAGTACCTTCCTACCCAACTCCATCCCCATCCCAGCTCTTGAATGCTGGAAATTAGGAATATACACAACAAGGTAGAAGAAATAAATCATTCTCTGGAGAATCTATACAGTCCAACATAAAAGACCTTCAGATACTGATATGGAGTCCCCCCCTGCCTGAAATAGCCACCTTGCTGCTTTATTACAATTATATAATTTCTATCCAATATGCTTAAAACTTCTAACTGACTCTATACTAACAGTTTACGATCCACAGACATTTATAAAAGCCTCCAACGCGGAAGACGGAAATCAAAACACAGAAACCAATTGAAAAGAGGAACTAAGAAGAAACAGGTAATATATAGGAAACAGAAGAGTTTGAAAAACTGGAACTAATAACTCTAATTTCAGAGTGATAAGATACTGAGTTACTAAAACAAGAAAGATTAAAGAATCACAGAATAATAAGCATTAGGGGAAATGAAAAATATGATGGCAGAAATTAAAAATTCAGGTGAATGGTCAGACTGTATACCACTTGGTAAAAGAAAATGACAAAAAAATAAACAAAAAAGATAAGAAAGTCACAGGATCAATTAAAGTGTTACAACTTCCAACTCATAAAAAATCTAGAAAGAGAGAAGAAAAAAGACAGGAAACCATAACACACACACACACACACACACACACACACACACACAGTGGGGAGGGGTGGTCTACAGTCAGAGGCAGCAGTGGCCAGGCTGTGAGGCCCGTGTGGTCACAGTGACTGTTTGGCTGTCAGGCTGCAGCTATGAAGGGTCCTGTCCAAGATGGGGTGGCTTCAACAGCCACCTCTAGAACCACGAAATCTAAGGCAGAGAGAATGCTTGACCTGCAGGCTTCCTCAAGAATAGAAGGCTAGAACTTTGCCCCAGGAAAATATTATCAAGTTTGCCAAGAAGTAAATGATGCTAATATAAAAAGCTAAATTAAAATGTACAGTATTGGATAAAGAAATTGAAGAGCTCGAATCAAAACCTGTTGCTGGAGGAACTAATGATATTACTAAGTATAATGCAAAAGAAAGATGCATGGAAAGTACCACATACTATACATTTTTTCTTCATTCTCTAGGAAGACAACATGTGTGACTTATAACATGAAATAAAATCACTTCAGATTTCAGTAACATAATGCAGCAGGAAAGGCACGAGACCTTTTTGGCAGAATGCCTCCCATACCTCCTCTATCATTAAAACGCTCGCCTCAAGGAGCAGAACCAAGACCCATTAAAGCTGAGATCTGATTACCAGGAGCCTGCAACCTATCTCACTTTTCACTCCTGGGAAAAACCCTTCAAGGAATTTTATTAATTTCCTTAGAACTAGGAAGTTTAACATGACTATGTATAATCATCTGAAAGGTATTAATGCTCAATTTCAGGTGTATGGGAAAAAGAAAATTTTCTGTAAAATGAAACATCAACCATGGGGAGGTTTTAAATTGGGTGAAAGAAGTCAACTGGAATATGCATATATAATTCCATTTATCTGATATTTTAGAAAAGACAAGCTATAAATATGAAGAACAGATCAATAGTTGCCAGAGGTAAGACCTAAGGGGTGGGTGTAATTATAAAGGGAGGTGTTTGTTTTGAAGTGATAGAATACCTAGGTATCCTGATTGTGGTGGCGGTCGCATAAAAAATGAGTTAAAATTCACAGAACTGCATTATTCCCATTCAAGAAATCAATTTTACTGTATAATTTTAAAAATAAAAAAATATTTAAAAAAGAGAAATGTAGGACAATTGTCCAGAATGGAGAATGTGAATATCTGGTTTGGAAAGAGGCCTACCACGTATCTAGTACACTGAATTACAACAACTCATACTGCCCTGACCACATGTTGCTCAGCAGGTTGAGTGCTGTCTAGCAAAGCAAAAGGTTGCAGGTTTGATTCCTGGTAAGGGAACGTGCCTGAATTGTGGGCCCAGTGCCCCACTGGGGTGCCTGTGAGAGGTAACCAATCTATGTTTCTCTCACACATTGACGTTTCTCTCCCTCTCCTTCCCTTTTTCTGCCCCTCTCTCTAATAAAACAAAACAAAACAAAACAAAACAACAAAAAGCACATCATCATAAATTTCAGAGCAGTAAGAAAAAAGGGAAGATCTTAAAATCTTCTGGAAGAAAAAAAAATGGGTCACAAAAATGGACTGGAATTATGAATAGCACCAAATTTTCTTTTCATTTTTCTTGAAAAATTGAACAAATAAATGATTTTTATCTGTTATAGTTCCAAGGAAGAAAAAGTGGAGCAGGCAGGGCCTTGTGGCCCTCGTGACCCCCCACCCATGGAGGGAGTGGTGGAGGCAGCACATATACGATCAAAGGAGAAAAACACAACAGATTCCTGAGGAATAGCATCAAATTTTCAACCATTAATTTTTAACAATAAAAGCTAAAATTGAAAAAAGACCCAAAAATCCTGAGAATATAATTTTCAACCTAGAATATATAATAAAATTATTCATCAAGAGTGAGCACAGAATAAAGGTATTTCAAGAGAAGTATCAAAAAAATGTTTTCATGCTAGAAGATGCTCTCTAGCAAAATGAGGGAGTAAAGTAAGAAAGAGGAGTTGTCAATAATACCTCAATAAAACTTAAATTTTTTTAAAAAGTAAGAAAGAGAAAGACATGGAGCCCAGGAATAAGAGTATTTAATATAGAACAAAGAAAGTTGGGCAGCAACAACAGCACAAGTAGCCCAGACTGGAAGAGAAGGGAAAAAGGATCAATGAGGGAGGTAATGCAAGGAATATAAAAATGATAGGTAATCTGATTAGTTTGACTAATAAGGCTGCTCAGAAAAAAAAAAGGGAAGAATTAACCATAGGTACTTAAAAAAAACAAGCAAATGAAAAGAAACAGAAAAATTATTAATTCCAGAAAAACAACAAAAACAAGATGTACAAGGAAAAAAGTGAAATCAGAGTACCTTAACTGGCAGTGAACAATATTTGTATAGCTATAATAATGTAAACGATAAATAACAACTTAATCAAAAGTTGTAATAAAATTACACTGGGAAGATGCAAAGAGGGAAGTAGAGGTATGATGATGATAATGTAAGGAAGTTTAATCTTCATTTACTGTTAAAGAAACCTGACATAAAGTGTCAAAAAGTTGATAAATTCAAGAATAACAATGTAAAGCATCATTGTTCATTAGAAATATGTCAACAAATACCAGAAGAAAGTGTCAAAGGAATTGAAAGTAGATGCACTTCTGGTCACTGAAATTGGGGAGGGGGATAGTTGAGGTGCAGGACATGCTCTTATTTATTTTAAGCTTTTTAATATTACCTGCTTTTTGGACGATATATTATTTGAAAAGCATTATAATTAATTTAAAATCAAATGGCAATATAACAAAGGATGCACTATTTTATCTACTGAATTATACTGTTCAATTAATTAACATGAACTTCCACTCTAACTTGTGCAGCTGTTGGAATAAAGCTTCCTGCTATCTCAATTTAACTGAATATGCTGGGATTACAAGATAAACTGATTTTAAAAAACCATCCGAGCCCTGGCTGGGTAGGTCAGTTAGGGCATCATCCCAATATCCCAAGTTGCATGTTAAATCACCGATCAGGACACACAAAAGAAGCAACCAATGAATGCATAAATAAGTAGAACAACAAATTGATGTGTCTGTCTACCCGCCCCATACCCCTTCCTCTCTCTCAAATTAATTTTTTTTTAATTTAAAACTATTTGGTAATTTCACAATTTTCTTGGTAATGCACATTCAAAATATGATACAGGAACATATTAGATGACAAAACTATTAGACTGCAGTGTCATCCGAAACCCCAAATTTTTATTTTCACCAAAACCTCAATGTTTCATTTAACTGATTTCACATCGTCAGTATTATCACATTATAAGACTAAAGATCAACCATAGTAGGTGGGCCCTAAGAAGAAGGGCAACCCAAAATAAAAATCTGGCTTATAAGACCCTGTGTTATGATTTTGGTCAGTTCTGTTGAGGCTTTCATTCACATTCCTGAGGTGACAGAAGGTAGAAGTAGGAAAAAATAAGGAAGGCTCTGAAGATATAAGGTGAAGGGTAACTGAACAAGCCTAGCTGAGAGGAAAGGAATGCAGGAATTAGGGTAGTGTGGTTGCAAGTAAGTGTATTAAAGTGGACTGGAAAAGTCACTTTCTGAGATCTTACTTGGGATCCAAAATGACAAAGCTACACTGCTATGTTAGAACTAAATATCATACTACTGTATGGTATTTAATATCTAGTAAGTATCATACTGAATCAAACTGGTATCAAAATTTGGATTTAACAGTAAAATAAAAGCATCATGATATGTAGTATACAAGAGAAGTCATGTTTTGTCAAAGAACCTAGAGAATCAATGTCATGAAAATACCTTTCAAATATTCCTCATCTTTCTCATATATATTCTGAAATGTCTGCAGATGAGTTTCTATAAGTTGTTTCAAATTAATCTCGAGGACAGGGTAAGGAAGAGTGGGTGGGAGTGTGGATGAAGCATGAGTTGCCATGAGTTGATGACTGCTGTAGCTGGGTGATTAAGTGCTCTCACTTACTTATGAGAAATTTTCCATAATAAAATTAAAGAAATATCTGATCTAATAAAATAATGTTTTTTCTTATTTTCACTTGCTTTTATAGCTTTTTCTTTCATAAATTTCTATTTTTAAAAGATTGCTAATTATACTTAATGTACTTGTTTCATCATTTTTGTCATCCAAATAACAGAGCTTAGAGCCCAAGATGACCAGTCTCATACTATAGTCTCTCACTCTATTCATCACCAATAAATGGTCATTTAGCTTCTATTTGAACATTTTCAGTGAAGGATAAAGTTACCAGGTTCAAATCAAGTCCACTTTTAAGTCAGAGCTAATTGTAGGAATGTTTTTCATTATATGAAACTATCCCCTCATCAAAAATATGTCGTATGTCTCCCAAGTAGTTATGCTTACTAAAACCTCCAGAGACCTGACCCTGAATTATCAATTACATCAGTTGGCAGGGTTTAAAAATATAATCAGTGGTCAATAGTTTTTGGAACCTTTCACTGAAGAGTCTAACTTTTAAAATTCACAATGGAAGGGATAATATTAAATAGATCACTAAATTTCAAACATTGCTGTAACTCTATACATTTTTGTCTTCTGCCTGTAAATCTGAGAGATATTTAAAATAAAAAGTCAAATAATAATATTTGACAATTGACAAATAATAATATTTGTCAATATAATAATATTGACAATTTAATAATATTTGACAAATAATAATATTAACAATTATTTCCCAATTTCTTACCTTCAGGCAAACGTACTAAGTGATTTCTTCTTACATTCAGGTCTCTTAAGGCCTCCAAATTAGCAATTTGAGAAGGTATTGTTTGAATTTCATTGCAGCTTACATCCTATTTTTAAAAGATACAAAGTAAAGAATTATTCAAAAATTCCAAACCAGCATGCTTTAAACTATCTATAAAATGAAGTTGGAGCAAGATAATTATTGATAAACTGAATACTTGCAGTCCCTCCTAGTTGTAAAAACATTATGACTGTGTCCAAGAATAATTCCATAGTTTGTAGTGGCACTGAATTATAAAAATGTACAGACTTTTGACTAATTCTATACATTTCATATATACCTACATTAATTTTATGAGAATTAAAATTAAATGACTTAAGTGGTAGATAGAATGCACAAAATATCAGATCAAATAAAAATGTTGATGAAAAGAAAAATAGGAAAAGTATAAGAACATCTATTTAGGACAATATTTTTATTTTATATTGTTCCAAAGAAGCTAGAAGAAAAAAAATAAGTTATTATAAAATTATTTAAAAGAATATCCTATTTTCAAAATACCAATTAAACTGTTCAAAAATATAATATAAAAATGCATTGAGGATTACTCAAATCATTCTTTTTTTTAAAGATTTTATTTATTTATTTATTTTTAGAGAGGGAAGGGAGGGAGAAAGAGAGAGAGAGAGAGCGAGAGAGAGAGAGAGAGAGAGAGAGAGAGAAACATCAATGTGCAGTTGCTGGGGGCCGTGGCCTGCAACCCAGGCATGTGCCCTGACTGGGAATCGAACCTGAGACACTTTGGTTCGCAGCCCGCACTCAATCCACTGAGCTATGCCAGCCAGGGCTCAAATCATTCTTTATCAAACTGAAAGTGAGGAGAAAATAATAATGTATAGATAACTCAAAAAGATAGGGAAAAAATAGAAACTATTTTATTAGCATCTGATCTAACTGATTCCAAGACACATTAGACAGGCATTCTGGTATCTTGGTAATAGTCTGACTTTGATTCCACTAGTTCTGAAAAGAGACTGACTTTAGGTTCCAACCCTGGTATGTCTAGGATTACATAATTCTGAGACTACTCAGAATGACTTGTAAACCTATGTGCAGCAGCAGGAAGCTGCCTAGGTCATTAAAAGTGTCAAAATGTCATATTAATACTTAAAATTCCTTCAATATAGAAGTAAAAAGAAAATATTAATAGACTTACTATTAGAGAAGATAACTTATCAAAAAAATTCAATAAGCTTTAAACATAGTTTTTAAAATTTCCCAAAATATTATTAGAGAAAATAATCCTGTTGTTATTTTTTCTCCCAATAACTAAAAGTAGAATCAACAGCTAGACTTCTTAGTCTAACACTCTAGGCATCAAAGTTAAAAGAGCTCTTCTAAAAGAAATTAAAGGGTAGGAAATTCACTGCTGGTGGGAATGTAAACTGGTACAGCTGCTATGAAAAACAGTACGCTGGTCCCTCAAAAAACTAAGAACAGATTTACCATATGACCCAGCAATCCCTCTCCTGGGTATCTACGTGAAAACCTCAAAAACATGTATTTGTGAAGATACATGCACCCCATGTTCACTGCAGCATTGCTTAAGGTGACCAAGAAATGGAGACAAAGTGTCCTTATTAGATGATTACATACATATTTTTTACCATATGAAATAGTATATATGGAATACTACTACTCAGCCATGAGAAGAGATGAAACACTGCCATTTGTGGCAACATGGGTGGACCTTAATTATATTATGCTAAGTAAAATAAGTGAGAAAAAGCTAAGAACCATATGATTTCACTCATATGTGGAAACTCACAGACACAGACAGACAACTGTATGATGGTTACCAGAGGGAAAGGGATGAAGGGGGTAGTAAAGTGTAAAGGGGACCAAATTTACGGTGACAGAAGATGATTTGACTTTGGGTGGTGGGCACACAATGCAATATACAGGTAATGTATCATAGAAATGTGCATTTGAAACCTATATGACCCAATTGATCAATGTCACCCTAATAAATTAAACAAAAAAGAAACAAAAGAAATCCCAAGTAAACAACCTAACATTAAATCTTAAAGCACTAGAAAAAGAACAAAAGCAACCCAAAGCCAGCAAAAGAAAGGAAATAATAAAAATTAAAGCAGAACTGAATGAAATGGAGAACAAAAGTGCTATTCAAAAAATACAACAAAGAGCTGGTTCTTTAGAAAGATTATAAAATTGACAAACCCCTGGCTAGCTATACTCACTAAGGGAAAAAACAGAGAAAGACTCACAAACAAAATCAGAAATGAAAGAGAAGTTACCACAAACACCACAGATATACAAAGATTATACTAGAATCTTTTGCAATATGAAAGATGGTGTGCTACCAAATTCAATAACCTAGAAAAAGATGCGTAAGTTCCTAGAAATATATAACCTTCCTAGATTGAATCATGAAAAATCTGAAAATCTGAATAGACCAATAAACAGTGAGAAAATTGAAACCACCATCAAAAACCTCCTAACAAATAAAAGTCCAAGACTGTTAGGTTTCACTACTAAATTCTAACAAACATTCAAACAAGGTTTACTATCTATTCTATTCAAATTCTTCTAAAAAATTGAAGAGGCAGTACTTCCTAACACATTTTTATGAGGTCAACATAATTGTGATACTAAAACCTGGCAAGGATAACACACAAAAAGAAAACTACAAGCCCTGGCTGGTGTAGCTCAGTGGATCGAGCGCAGGCTGAGAACCAAAGTGTCGCAGGTTCGATTCCCAGTCAAGGTATATGCTTGGGTTGCAGGCCATGACCCCCAGCAACCGCACATTGATGTTTCTCTCTCCCTCCCTCCCTCCCTATAAACAAACAAACAAACAAACAAACAAAACCTTTAAAAAGAGAGATTAAAAAAAAAAAAAAGAAAACTACAGACCAGTATCTCTGATGAATACCGATGCAAAAGACCTAAACAAAACACCAGCAAATCGAATATAATACCACATTAAAAAAATAATACATCATGGCCAAGTGGATTCATTCCAGAGGCACCAGATGGTTCAACATATGCAAACTGATCAATGTGATGTATCACATTGACAAAAGAAAGTATAAAAATGATATGACCTTTTCAATAGATGCAGAAAAAAGCATGTTGATAAGATACAACATCCACTTATGATTAGAACACTCAATAAAATGGGTACAGAAGGAAAGTACCTCAACATAATAAAGTCCATATATGACAAACCCTCAGCCATTATCATACTCAATGCTGAAAAACTGAATGCTTTTCCTCTAAAATTAGGAACAAGACAAGAATGCCCACTCTCACTACTCTTATTCAATGCAGTTTTGAAAGTCCTAGTCAGAGCAATTAGCCAAGAGAAAGAAATAAAAGGCATCCAAATTGGGAATGAAGAAGAAAAAGTGTCACTTTTTGCAGATGATATGATTCTGTATATAGAAAACCTTAAAGACTCCACTAAAAAACTATTAGAAACAACAGATATAATAAAATTTCAGCATATAAAATCAATGTACAAAAATCTACTTCCTTCTTGCCCTGGCTGGTGTAGCTCAGTGGGCTGAGTGCTACCCTGGAACCCAGAGGTTCAATTCCCAGTCAGGGAACCTGCCTGGGCTGCGGGCCAGGTCCTCTGTTGGGGGCACAGGAGAGGTGGCCAATTGATGATGTTTCTCTCTCTTTTTCACTCCCTTCCCCCCTCTCTCAAGTATAAATTTTTAAAATCTTTAAAAAATTATTTCATTCAAAATAATCCACTACTTCCCAATGAAACTTCAGGGAAAAAAAAAAACAGGAAAAAAAAAGCCTCCGCAATTCCTTTGCAAATGCAACCAAAAGAATAAAATATCTAGCAATAAACTTAACAAAGAAACAATATTCAATAAGCTTCAAACATTATTTTTAAAATTTTTTCTACCAATTAATAACTGAAGTAGAATCAGAGGCTGGACTCCTAGTTGAATGCTCTAGACACCAAAGGTAAAGGGTTCAAAAAGAAATGAAAAGGGTAGGAAAATTGAGCCTGAGCCAGAAGGTAATAGCAATCTATAATATTTCTCTCAGTAAATATATATGTTGAAATAGCAGTTTACTTTCTCTATAAAATTAATAAAGATACTGCAGAAAGAGACCGTGAAGTGGGACCCAGGAGCTTCAGAATTACTAATTCTTACTCTCCCACAAACTATTTTTATAAATGAGGATTATCAATTCACCTGTTTTGTAGAAAGCTAAAAGCCCCTTTTGCAAACATATCTATCTTTTCAGTATTTAAGATTCAGTAAGTTGAAACAGAAAATTTTAGTAATTTGAAAATCAGAATTTGAATCGTGAGTATAATTTACTAGTAGTTCATGTTATTAACCCAAGCTGTGAAGAAATGCCAACAAACATAAATTTTTGGATTATTTCCTATATCTAACTGGCTCTAAATAAACAGTGGTCTAATATCTACATTTAATGTATCTGTGAATTTTTACTTGACCTTTTATATTCATAATTTACTTTAAAAAGTCAGCTAATAAGTGATCCAATTAGATTATATGTGTACAGTATTTATTTATGATGTTCATCTTTGTTAATAAACCTACATGTAACTACATTCCCAAATCTCAATGGGCCTAATTATATGGGAGCACTTCAGAAATATGAAACACAGGCTCTGGGTTTCAATTTCTACTTCAGTTATGGAAACCTGGGCAAGTAACAACCTGAGTGCTAGTTTCCTCAGTTGTAATCTGATGACAATTATAGTACTCAATTAATAATGTTATTATGGTGATTAAAAGAGAAAAGTCTTGTTGCCATGTCCAGAACGTAAGTAACTCAAGAGTAACAAGGAGTGGTAGGGGAAGGTTAAGATTCTTAGAAATAGAAGGCAGTAAAAATTAGCTTACTTGAGAGTATATAGCAAATATGGAAAAAATATATAAGCTTGACCTCTGTAGTCTCCATTTCCCTATAGGGGTTAACCAAAAATCAGAATATTGATGTTATTAACAAGACTTAATTTGAAAAATTCAAATGACTCATTAGCTTATACCTCAAAAGTTCAGTAACACAGAAATCACTTAATCCTAGTGAGAACCGAATTCTAATGACCTTTGCCCATTCCATGTGAGCCTGATAAGACTTGTACTTTCAGTCCCACAATTCTATGCTGAAGCACTTGAGTACTGGTCCATCAGTGAAACTTCATTATGGATACCTGAAAATAACTCAAAACACACCTTAATAATGGATCTTCACCACATACAAGATTATGGTATGACTACAGACGTATATATGTGGGACAATTGAAACAGAAAATATTAACTTACCAGTTCTGTTAAATGTCTGAGATGTCCAATTTCTTCTGGAAGTGAGACCAATTTGTTATTACTAGCAATTAAGACTTTCAATGGTAAATTACACAAATGTACTGGCAGTGTTGACAGTTGGTTCCGACTAAAATGGGTAAGTAAAAAAAGAGAAGAGTCAGGACTCAATATTCAAGAAAAAAAAAAATTCCATCTTTGCCATTCTCTACTCAGTAAAATAACAAACATAACTCTTACAAGGAACAAACAGAATTTTAGATTTGAGTTCTAGCCTACATTTCCTTACTTGTCAACTTTCTAATTTTGAGGCACAACATTTAACCTATCTGCATCTTACACAGATTCCTCATCTGTAAATTGAGAATCCTAGCATCTCCTCTACCTATCTTACAGGGCTCTTCTACCATAAAACACCTCTGTCAATAATAAAGTGCTCAACATATTATTTTAATGAAGTTAAATTTATATAAGAAAATGACTTAAAAATAGGGCAAATAACTATCATTCTCTTCTTTCCAAAGATGATTTATAAACATAAAAATGTTTGTAATCTACTTCCCACATCAATCATTACAGTATATAATGAAAGGCAAAATGATTATGTCAACTGCACAATACAATGATTACATGTAAAAATATTTCAAAAGGATATTTCACTTGCTAATTTTCTTCAGTGAACACTTACAACTTTTTACTTTTAAAGTATATTTTATTGCTTATGCTATTACAGTCGTCCCATTCAATCTCCCCTTTGTTTCCCTCTGCCCTATACCCCCTACACCACCCCCCTATAATCCCTCCCTTAGTTCATGTCCACGGGTCATACATGTAAGTTCTTTGGCTTCTCCATTTCCCATACAATTCTTCACCTCCCCCTGCCTATTTTCTACCTACCATTTATGCTTCTTATTCCCTGTACCTTTCCCCCCATTCTGCCCATGCCCCCACCTCACTGATAACCCTCCGTGTGATCTTCATTTCTGTGATTTTTGTTTCTGTTCTATTTGTTTGCTTAGTTTGTGTTTTTGTTTAGAGTCAGTTGTTGATAGTTGTGAGTTTGTTGTCATTTTACTATTCATAGTTTTTATCTTCTTCTTTTTCTTAAGTCCCTTTAACATTTCATACAATGAGGGCTTGGTGATGATGAACTCCTTTAACTTGACCTTATCTGGGAAATACTTTATTTCTCCTTCCATTCTAAATGATAGTCTTGCTGTATAGAGTCATCTTGGATGTAGGTTCTTGCCTTTCATGACTTTGAATACTTCTTTCCAGCCCCTTCTTGCCTGCAAGATTTCTTGTAGGCAATTGTCTCCTTTTCTCTTGCTGCTTTTAAGATTCTCCCCTTGTCTTTAATCTTGGGTAATATAATTATGATGTGCCTTGGTGTGTGTTTCCTTGGGTCCAACCTCTTTGGAACTCTCTGAGCTTCCTGGATTTCCTGGATGTCTATTTTCCTTTGCCAGATTAGGGAAGTTCTCCATTATTTTTTCAAGTAAGTTTTCCATTTCTTGCTCTTCCTTTTCTCCTTCTGGCACCCCTATGATTTGGATGTTGGAATGTTTAAAGTTGTCCCAGAGGTTCCTTAGCCTCTCCTCATTTTTCTGAATTCTTGTTTCTCCATCCTGTTTCAGCTGGATGTTTATTTCTCCCTTGTGTTCAAAATCAACGTCTTCAGTCCTGATTTCCTTCCCCTCACTGTTGGTTCCCTGTATATCTTCCTTTATTTCACTTTGCATAGCCTTCGTTTCTTCCTTCATTTTGCAACTAAACTCAATAATTTCTATGAGCATCCTGATTACTAATGTTTTGAACTTTGCATCTGATAGGTTCTCTGTCTTTTCACTGCTCAGTTATATTTTGGAGTTTTGATCTGTTCTTTCATTTGGGCCATGTTTCTTTGTCTTGGTGCACCTGCTATTTTGTAGCGGGTAGGAGCTTAGGTATTTGCCAGGGTGGGGTAGCCTACTTCTCTGCATTATGGAGCAATATGTGGAGGAGGGGTCAGAGAGGGAAAAGTGCCTCTTGCTCAGTTCTAAACCGGCTTTCAGTCACTTTCCTCACTTCCCACAAGCAAACTGGGCCCTTCTGGTGCTTATTCCCAGGTGTGTAGGCTTGTGTATGCTCTAGGACCCTGTGGGTCCTCAAACAAACTCTCCTATGAGACTGGGAGTTTCTCCTACTGCTGCAGCCCCCACAGATTTTTACAGCCAGAGGTTTTGAGGCTTTCTCTTCCCATGCTGGAACCCTGGGTTGTGTGGTCCATCTTGCTCCTCAGTTGTTCCTTCTGGGTTATCAGCACATAAATGTGGAACCACCTGGTCAGTCAGCTGCTGCCTCACTGCCGTCCTCTCCACCTTGGCTGCCTGTCTCCACCCCTCCTACAGGTCTGAAAGAATGTTTCTTTTTTAACTACTTGGTTGTTGGACTTCCACACAGTTTGAGTTTCTGGCTATTCTGGTTGGTTTTTGTTTTTAATTTTATTGTTGTCCTTTTGTCTGTGCGAGGAGGCAAAGTGTATTGACCTATGCCTCCATCTTGGCCAGAAGTCACATATAACTTTTATGATAAAGTAACAGAAGAATTCTTGTAAGATATGAAAAAATGGATTAGATGAGTTGATGTATTTGTACATTCAGAACTGAATACACAAAAACAAATAATCAGAGGAACCAAACAAAGTAATTACAAGTCTACTATTCTCATTTGATGAAGCTTATCTGAAAATGTCATTGTAGAACCACTGCTACAAGACTGCTACAAGCCTACTAGGCTAATGGCTATTAGAGTATATCCATGATTGCAAAGACAGAGGGAAAGACCAGAGGGACATAGGAAATACTGTTAATTTAGCCTAAGAACATGTACAGAAATTGCTGATATGAATGGGTAATATAAAATTGAGTGAAAGGGAACAGAAATTTGAAAAGGCTACATAAAACCAAATGTTAAAAAAAGGAAACAACATCTTACCTAATATTTAAGAATGTCAGAGCCTGTAGATTTAGGATTGCCTCTGGTATATACCGAATACAATTTTGGTATAAGTTGAGATTCTCAAGAGAAACAAAGTGACATGCTTCTATGGGAATTTCTGAGAGGCGATTTCGTGATAGATCTGAAAGAAAAAATAAATTAAGTTTAAGATCAATCCTTGCTACTTACTTTATTGAAATGTTAAACAGGCAGGTTTTGTGGATGTTTGAATTACCAAGAGTTCTTATTGTAAGGATTGATCCAGAATAAACATTCAAATATTTATTAATTGAATAAACCACTTTAACTCATGCCCCTACACCTGTTGCTGGGAAATACTGATTCCTTTCGAGTCTCCACATATACTACAAAATAAAAACATTACTCTTTGCAAGTAACACAAAATTCTAAGGCATATCTGCCTTACAAATTACTTCAAAGATCATACTAAGTACCAAGTATCCAAGGAAATGAATGGATCCCTAAAATCTGCCTTTACAAAAGCACAGACAACATCCAGAGATTTTTTTAAAGAGCAAAGCAAAACCAAACCAAACAAAAAATACTGTTCCTTTCTTTACCAGTCAAGATGACCAGGGTTATGTCAAAGAATTCATGAACCACCTTTGCTCCCACTGGCCAAAAAGGAGGCAATTTGAGCTTCACTAAAGACAATAGTTGTAATAGACTGAAAGCTATTCACACATACTGAATCATACAAGCATTTAATGACACATCCCCTCTCCACCTCCCAAAATTAACAGAGAACCAATTCATTATTTTGTAAACTGATAAAGGGGAAAATTCAAACATTTATTTTGCATTCCTTATACATATTACTGAGTATCCAAAGAGAAAAGGGATGCATCTATATATATTTTAGCTGTAAATGAAAAATAATGGTGGAATATAACCATTTTCCAACTCTCAATAAACTACTGGATCTAGAATTGGGTATTAATGGTTGTTATCTTTACAAAGAGACAATAAGAAATTATATGCCTCCCACTAAAAGAATAGAACATCACTTATGGTTCTGCTAAAGGGACAAGGACCTAGTCTAATCAAGCTTCTGGATCAGTTGCAAATTTTCAGGAAATGCAAAGGACAGAGAAATGGGCTGAAATACAGTCACTCTACCACTACCCATTTACATTTAATAAAATACAGTGTGAAATTCATCTGCTCACTACTGTTTCCTCTCTGCTTCTGCTCTACCTTAAAGTCTTTGCTGGGAATTATTTGGTGAGACTCCTTTATTGAGAACTTTCCCTCTATCTAATAGAGGACCTATTCCTGAATATCTTGCTTCCACCATAACAAGTGAATGGTATTTTGGCTAGGAACAGGTACAGATGTTTTCATAGTAACATGTACATGTTATTTTACTACCTTCTAGTTTCCAGTGTTACACTAAGTAGCTCAGCACATATCTGATCACTTTCTCTGTATAAGCAACTAGGCAGCTTATAAGCAGCTTATTCTCTGTCTCTGAACCACCCCCAACACTCTAGTCTGAAACTCAGTAGGCTTTCAATCCTTCTTTAAATCAGAGAAATCCTCCTCTTTTATATCTTTAGTTGTTACATCTCTTCAATGTGCTCCCTCTCCTTTACATTTTTTTTCTGTTTTGGTATACTCTTCTACATAATATCCCAAGACCATGAATTTGAGTCTCAACAATAATCATCCTTTCCACAAATAATCATTTGTTTTGCTTTGCTTGTTAAACTTGTTACCTCTTCCAATAGTTCTAGTTCACTGAAGACACTTGTTCTAGATATAATCTTTGTTAATCCTTTCTCTTGCTGATGGAGTTCCTTTAAGAGAATTATTTTCCATTGCCAATTCATACCTTGCCTCATCCTTAGAGCTCCGGTCAAACTGCTAGAATTAACACCAAAATAATGGAAGCAACCTCTACAATGCTCTGGGACAACTTCCTTCACCTCCAGCTGCTGAATTCCTCCAGGCACAGCTCTTTCTGAGGACTCAGGTTTTAATAATTGCCCCATAGAATCTGGCCTCCTGTTTTTATACAGATCCCAGACTCACATACCCTCTACAGGGCCCACTAGACTGTGAGCTCCAGAGCTGGTTTACTCTGAAGTGATAGTGACTAAATGAAGTTGGGCAAGTCTATCATTATGCCAAAATGCCATCATTAGGAAAAAACCCAAGTAACATAGACCATTAGGTACTAAACTAAATACTCCCTACAAAATCACTTTGCAAATCACTTCTTTAATACAAAGTACAATAAGAATTATTTTTTCAATTCCTATTTAAATTTTATTTGTATAATTTTAAAAGTTGAATAAAAGATAGAAATTAACTTCAATTGCAAACTGTTCCTTAAATATTTAAATTTAACTCAAAAAAGGACAACTTTAGGCATCAAATTAAGTTTAAGAAGAGACTACCAAAAGTCATTTTTCCTAATATTTGTATTATAAAGCTAAATTACTTAAAAATTCAGACAAATGAAGCAAATGACATTCATCTTCTTTTTTTGCCCATACTAGGAAGGGGAAAAAATGATAGCAAGGTATACACTAAACTTAAATGTATCTCAATAAACAAGTACTCCCTAATTTTTAAGTAATCAGCTAATTTATGACATAAATTTACTTTTGAACCCAGAGTTTCTAAGAATTCTTGTAAGTTCTCCCATTTAAATTGTATTTTGAATTTAATTTGGGGACAAGTAACTTCTCTGTGTTAACTGAGTAATTTTTTTATATGCTATAAATTCATGAAAGAGGCTAAATTAGTTAGTTGGGTCATAGATCATATTATGGAAAATACTGCGAAGTACTACTGGTTTATAAAGGATAATTTTGCCATAGTTCCCCAAAGAGGACATAATTTTACAGCCAAAGAAGTGTGATAAAAGAGGGAAAAAATTACCTTACAAAAAACTTCAGTTAAAAAAAAAAAGGGTATGTTTCATACTTAGAAATATTTTTCTGGTTATAAAAGCAATGTATAGTAACTGCATGTATTCAGAAAACTACATAAAACATATATGCATTCAAAGAAATAAAATACTGCCAGAACCCTAGGAGCCCCAACGTTGCTCTTCCTAATCGTAACCCTTTCCCTCCCCAAAAGAGGAACCAATACAGTGATTTTAGTAATAACCATTTCCTTGATAATTTGCAGATCGACACTTTAAATTTGCAGTTTTGCCTCCTGTATTAGTTTCCTATTGCTGTTGTAATAAATTACCAAAAACTCAGTGGCTTAAAACACAAATTTAAGTTTGGTTCAAGAAGCAATCCAAGGAGGTACCTGGACATACCTCCTCCTATGGACACACTGAGTCTTAGCTACATATGGAACAATGTGCTTAAAAAACCCCTAAAGATGGACTGAGTGATAACTACACATAATGCAAATGAGAAGAAAACCACAATAAAGAGGATAGCAGAGGCTGAGACACAGTCTCACCATAAAATCCACCCCGGCATGGAGACCCACATCAGGGGAAAACTTGAAACCCAGAACTTCTCCTCGAGAAGTTAAAGGTTTGAAGCCTACATCATGCACTTCAACTTTTAGGACCTGCATTTGAGAGATATGTCTCCAAAACATCTAACTTTGAAAATCAACAGGGCTCATGTTCTGAGCTTGGACCTACCTGCTCCAGGACCCAGCTCAGAGGAGACTGACCTGTTTTTATTAAAGCACTGGCCTTAGGGGCAGGCATCTAATTTAACGTACACATATAAGACTCTGCTGAATACTCTCTGGAGACAGAGACTGGCATGAGCCATCTTTGCACTCTCCCTTTGCCATGCTCCATAACACCAATATCTCCTAGAAGGGAGCTTTTACATGCATCTGGTGGCCCATCTTTGCAGTGCTGCCCAGGAAATGACTCTAGTTGGCTTGGCTCTGAAGACTAGGGGAGCTTGCATTCCTGGTCTCAAAGGACTGTAATAATCAGTGTCATTCAGAAAGGAGCTCATACCTCTGCCTAGTGCCCCAATTCTGGCAGTTGGTAACAGAGGACACTCTATATTGCCTGCCTCTGGCTGACAGTGGGGTATATGCTCATGGGCAACCGACTAAAAAGAATTTTTAAACAGCTCCCACCCACAGGGCACAGCAAAAGGCAACAGACTCAAGAAGCTCTGTCATTCTGTGAAAGAGGCTTATGGCTAATCATCATAGCTCTAACTTGAGGGTAGTTTTCTAACTCAACACACATTCAGGGTGTGACTAGAATCCTTTCCTCAGACCTTGGAGGGCAGGCATTACATTCATGCTCTCCCTTGGCCATACTCCAGAGTGCCAGTGTCTCCTGGAAAGAAGCTTTACCAATTGGTGCCCTGGTTTTTGCAGCTGCCACCCAGAAGCACCCCTTGATCAGTGGCTCTGGGTCCCACAGGACTGTGGCAATTGGAAAGAGAGTTCTCGGCAGGTGGCCATCACCAGGGCACTATGCAGATAGCAGACCGAGGCACTTACCCAGTCCTTCTGTAAAGAACGATTCTTTGCTTCTTTGTCCTGTAGTTTTGGCCAAAGAGGCACACTTCAGGTTTGGCAAACATATAGTAGACTATGGAACTGTCCTCAAGGAATGTAGGCTGTGGATACCATCCTGGTGCTCCCTCTATGCCTTGTTTCAGATCACTTGTATCTCCCAGAAAAGAGCTTATACACTTATGTGGAGCCCCTGTTTTTGCAACTGCCACCCAGGAAACACTGCCAGATCACCCAGCAAGTGAAGTTTATACTTGTGGTCCAACAGGACTGTATATATTTGCATACTCTTAAAAGCTGCTGCCTATAGGTCTGGATTCCACAGAAGTTGAATCTAGGTGCTTAGATACTCCCTGTAGGGATGCTGACAGGTCTTGGCATATCCTAAACTACTTGGAGCTATTAAAAATAAAATGGGCTGCTTGGACAAGCATAAAAGTTTAAGAGACAACAGGGCTGCAGCAAGGTTGAATTACAATGTTCACCTCCTACATGACACCATTCCTTCAAAACAAGAACAGGAGACTGTTTCATCCACTGTAAACAAAAAACAAAAAACAAAAAACAGAGAGTCAAACAAAGTGAAAGAATAAATCAATATGTCCCAAATGAAAGAACAACATAAAATCCTTACAAAAAAATTCTTAATGA